GGGGCGGGGGGCACAACCTCTCTTTCTCTCTCTCTCTCTGTCTTTTCCAGCTCAGTGCATGTGCCCATAGCACAAACTAAGGGAATGGTTAAGGAGCCAGATCTCACATGGCTGACCACAGTTTGAATCACACCAGGGTAGCTTGAAAAACAAACCTGAGGTCAAGCCCCATGGCCTAATAGTTAAGGGAACCAGATCCCACAGAGCTGACCACATGGCTCAAACCCTGAGCCCGACAGCTTGAAAAACATACTGGGCATGCGTGTCCATAATTCTGACAGGATGGGGACACAGAAGGGAGGAATTTGAGCTGTGAATAATTATGCTCAGGGACTAAGACTGAAGATTTTCTGCTGAGACTTTACCCTCCAGACCCCATTCTAGAGTGGTAGTACACCCTCTGTAACCTGTCTCTTTTCATTAAAAAAAAGAATGTTTAAGGCAAAGTATTTTCTTGGATCTCAGATCCTCCTTTATGTTGCTAATTTCCACCTTCCATTGAGAAGAGGAAAAAACAAAACAAAACAAAAACGGCACAGGCTTTCTGAGATGCCGACTGAATTTCAGCTGTAATTCCTTTCATTTTTTAAATTTATTTTCTTTTTTTCTTGTTTTTCTTTTTTCTTTCTGTTTCCTTTTCCTTTTCCTTTTCTCCTCATCACTTTGCTGCTCAGCCTCCACCCACTGAGTATCTAGTCAGGTCTAAAGTGAACCATAGACAAACATCTGAGTATTATTAGGGTCTGAATATTCCTCAATTCCCACCAAATCTGCCACACAAAGGAAGAAAAACAGAACGGCAGAGAGATTGCAGATCACCTCCTCCTGCATACCTCTGAACGCTCAGATTGAACATCAAGAAATTAAGAAGAAACATATAACCCATCAGATGACCAGAAATCACCACAGGAGCACAAGAAATTTGAGAAACCAAGAAAATACCTCTCCAAGGGAAAAGAATAACTCCTCTTCATCCATAGACAGTACAATGGAACTTGTGGAAATGTCTGATAAAGAATTAAGAATATTCATAGGACCGGCAGATGGCATAGTGGTTAAAGGCACTGGACTCTCACATGGCCAACCACAGTTTGATTCCCAGACCTGTCAGCTTGCTCTCTCACTTTCTCCCTCCCTCCCTCCCCCCCGGCCCGGTCTGGTAAAATGAAAAAAAAAGAAAAAGAAAAAGAAAGAAAGAGAAAAATTTTAAATATTCATAGTGACAAAGTTAACAGAGATGCAAGAGAAGAGAGACAATGAACTCCAGAAGATGCAGGAAAAAAGAGCTGGCGAGTTCCAGGAGGTGAGGAAGTTCTTGCACAATCTGAAAGAGGAGATACACGCCATAAAAAAGAATGAAATGGAACTATTAGAGATGAAGGATATAATATAGGAAATCAAAGCCTCCCTTGAAAGTATTAAAAGCAGACTAGATCAAACAGAATATCAAATCTCTAATGTAGAAGACAGAATCACTGGCCTAGAAAAATCCACCACCAAGACAGAAAATAGCCCCCCAAAAATGAGAATAATATACAAAAAATATTAGATATCATTAAATGTCCAAACATCCAGATAATCAGTATCCCAGAAGGCAAAGTGACTAATAAGGGTATTGACAATCTTTTCCATGAAATTCTGGAAGAAAACTTCCCAAACCTAGAGAGGCATTCAAAGATCCAGACCCAAGAAATATAAAGGACCCTAAACAGGATCAACCCAAGATCTTCTCTAAGACACATTATAGCCAGATTGACCAAAAACACAAACAGAAACAAGATACTATGATTGGAAGAGAGAATTGTTAAGTTACCTACAAAGGATATCCCACTGGGCTAATAGTGGACCTCTCATCAGAAACAATGCGAGCGAGGAAAGAATAGGAAAATACATTCAAAGTGTTTAGGGAAATACAATTTCAACCAAGAATACTGTACCTGGCAAGATTATCCTTCATATGGGAAAAAAGACAAGAACATTCTCAGATAAAACCTGAAAGAATTTACCAGCACCAGACCAGATCTCCAGTTTCTGAAGGGAGTGCTATATCAGGAAAACTAAAGACAGACACACAGAAGAGTTCAAAAACTAAGAAAATGGCCAACTTAATGGTAGGGACAAGTCTGGAGTTGAATGTTATCTTCCAGAATTTAAACAGAAAGATCAGACCACAACAGAAGATAAACCAAGTACATGAGACTAAACTGGTGAAATAGAATCTTATGACTTAGGACTAAAACTATTGACTTCCTTCTATGCTTTGTTTACATACTATTTGAATAGAATCCTAACCTGTTTCCTGGCTTTAAGTCTTAAGGAAAGTTCTCTTAATTTTTTTTTATTTTTCTTTATTAAAGCTAAAATAGCCTTTCTTGAACTTAAAAAAATATATTAAAAAATACCAATTTAGTGCTCGCTTCAGCAGCACATATACTAAAATTGGAACGATACAGAGAAGATTAGCATGGCCCCTGCGCAAGGATGACACGCAAATTTGTGAAGCATTCCATATTTTTAAAAAAGCAAAACATACAGAAAATTAGAAATGGAAAATTACTTGCTGACAATAACATGTTTGTTGATGTGCTTGATTGAGACAATATACAGTGTACTCTGGATGGAAAATCTCATTTTGTATGCTGTAATGATGTACAGTGAATGAATGCAAATAAACAAATTAATTAATAAAAAAAAATTTTTTAATTAAAAAAAAAAATTAATGACCACAGTAAGCAATATAGGCTCAGCTAGGGGGTATTTTATAACATATTCATTCTACTCACAGAACTTCATGCCTAAGTCAGACATGTGTTCACAGATATGTGTACATCAGCTGAACTTGCTACTGAAAGTAGTTAGACTAACATATTTTGTGGGGATCAGCAGTTAGCATAATGGCTATGTCGCTGGACTACCATGTAGTCAATGGCAGTTTGAGTCCCAGACCCAGTTTAAACTCACGCCGGGCGCATGTGCATGCATGCCCAAGATCCCAAGGAGAATAGAGAAGGGACTACTACAGTGTGGCCATCCCTCCTGGGGGGTGATTTCTCACTTTCTGTCTCTCTGTCTCTCTATCTTTCTGGCGAGCGCACATGCCCTGTAGCAAAAACCTCTCCAAAAAAAGAAAAAAAATATTTTATGAATCAATAAAATGAGGGAGGGGAGGGAAAGCAACTGTAGATACCAGAGACAGAGACAGAGAGGGAGGAGGGTGGGAAATGGCAGATGGTGAGAAATAGGGGGAGATATAATATATAGATATAGATATAGATATAGATATATACACACACAGATATAGATATCTATGAAACAAGAAATGGAAAATTATTTGTTGATGATAGCATGTATGATTAAGCCACAATACAGTGTATACTGGATGGGAAATTATATTTTGTATGCTGTGATGATGTTCAGTAAATTAATGTAAAATACATTTAAAATGAAAAAAAAAAAAAAGAAATGAAAAAAAAAAAAAAAGAAAGAAATGGAGAAGGAATGAATAGTGGTGTGACCATGCCCCATTGGAGGGTTTGCAATGTTTTTGTCTCTCTGTCCCTTTTTGGCAAGCACACACACCCTCTGGAAATAATAAAATGCTACCTATAACCTTTTTCAGGACAAGAAGGACCTCTATCGACAGTGAGGAAGTGTCAAGCCTGTGCCCAGATGAACATGGTGTGAACAGCAGGGCCAGCTGTCTCTGCCTGGAAAGGTCTATCTTTGGGATGAGTCAGTTTCTTGCTCTTGGAATCTGATGTTTCCTAATTGGAAGCAGCAGCCATCCCGGGCATGTGCACCAGTGTCTAGGGGCATGACGCTATCTCCATGGGGCCACACCTGGAGCTGCTGGGGCCAAGTCACAGGCCTGATAGCTGCAGGCAACCTGGTGTCAGCCAATGATGCCCTTGACCTCTGTCAGCTGTCCCTTGGTGAATCCCCCAGCCGGGGAACAGAGGGGCAAGGCCTAGCTCCAGGGGCACAGCAGGTGGACAGGAGACCCTGTGGGTCTTCAGATGACTGTTATCTCATCTGACTTGCTGCTGTCAGCCTCATGCCCAGGATGGTCCCAGCAGAGCTGCACCACAACTAACTGGACAAAAATGAGAACGTCTGGGCTCTGCTCTGACCTCACTCCCTTGCAGCTACACAGGCTAAGTCAGGGCCCTGCTCCTCCACAGACCTACTTTCTGTGTCATGATAGTACGTACACATCCTCAACCAGCACTGAGGGCCTTCCAGTGCTATCTCTGCCCCAGGCGGGTGGAAGTAGCACCCCAGACTGAGCTCAAAAGATATCACTGTCCCCTAGGATGTGTCTGGCTCTCTTGTCAGATGAGGAGCTCAGGCCCAAACGGTCCTCATGCTGTTCTTGGACAACTGGAGCACAACATGCTTAGCTGAGTTGGTTTGGGGGGCTTAAGCAGGCAGAGGCTCAGAGGATGTAAGGTGCCAAGAGATTAAGGAGGGTTGGGGGGACCTCAGAGAAATGTGAGCAAAGCTAATGAGGAACTGTTGGTGCGGACAGTCCTGAGAGCCACAGGCCCACGCAACCCTCACACCTGTCCAAGGAGGCACAGGGCAGACTGCAGAGTCACAGTAAGAGACAAGGCTGCTCTGGAGGGACAGGAGCAAGGCAGTTGGGCCCTCCTCAGGAGCCCATCCAGGACCCACCTCAAGCTTGCGGGACACGAGTGTCAAGGCCGTGGGGTCCAGGTTGGAGGCAGCCAGAACCTCGTTTAGTTGCACCTCCCTCTTCTCCGCAGTGGCACTCAGTGCCTGCAGCTTGCGCTCCAGCACCAGGTTCTTGAAGCCCGTCTTCTGCTGAACTTCCTGGATGGCCGTGGTGAACTTCCGGTAGAGCTCGTCCCGTTCCTGCTGCACCTGTAGCGGCCAGGCTAGGGTCAGCGGCGAGGTTCCTCATTGGGGATGTCCCAACGGGGAGATGCTACCTCTTCCTCTGCCCAGAACATGCTGCTTATAAAGAAGTGTCACCTTTCAGGGATGCCAACACCTGTGGGTCTGGGCGTGTTGCCCATGCTGTCTGCACCCTGACCCTTGGCAGCCGTCCACGCAGTGGAAGGCAGGAGGGGACAGTAGCATATTCCCTTTTCTCAGGAATGAGGCTTCCTGTAAGAGCTGGAGAGGCACACCCTGCATTCTGCTCCTCAACGGGGTGGGGCTGGTCTTGCCCTGAGTTTGAGCTTGTGGGTTCAAGCAAGATGTGTCCCTAATTGTCTCGTGTGAGCCATGAGGCAATGAGCAGCCAATGTTTGCAACTGGGGGGCCCCTTGGAGGATCCACTCCCAGATCCTGACGACATGCCCTACAAATAAAGCACAGCCTTGGAGCCAGCTGCCTGTCAACTATAAAACTGTTCATTTTTACCTGCTAACTTTCCTACTTATTAACAGTACATTGTAAAAGAAAAACCAGGACTTTCTATATAAATGTAAAAATCCAAAAGTGAACACTCCCTTAACCCCAGTTCCCAGAGATCGCTATCGTGAATGTTTACTGTGACTCCTTCCAGAATGTTCTCTACACATGTGAAAACATTTATTGCTGTTGGGAAGAAAACAGGATCATGGCAAACCATGTAGCTTCTTTCACGTAAGAGTGTTTCCTGGAGCAACACCCAAGATCCCAAATCCCTTCTAACTACCACAGGGCTTTCCATAGACTGGCTTACCTCCGACGTCCTATCGAGAGACATGCATGTTGTAAGTGCCTTTGCTCTCTATTTTGCTGGCAAATATGAGCTCTTGGTTCTCTAGGAAGAGACACTGACTGCCACACATCATGAACTCATTCAAATGGAGAATGTGGCTATAAACATGGACTCCAAGCCAGGCAGGCATCTGCTTCCTTCCCATTAATGACTGCCTGAGAACCCACTGGGAGGAAGAAGAGGGCCTCTGTCTACCAAAGCAGAGCTCAGACTCCCTTCTACACAAGGCTGCAACTGAGAGACAGCAGAGCCCAGTGACTCACATCTCATGGGACCCACTGTCTCTAAAGATGACTGGAGATCTGTTATAATGATGAGGTGTTCCTAAACAGCCTGCTCTGGGGGAAAATGAGGCCATCCCGTTATTACAGTCTGCATTAGTGAATACTGACTTGTCTTTTTTTTTCTTAGTTTAGTTTTGTTTTGGTTTTGGTTTTGGTTTTTTTTGTTTTTGTTTTTGTTTTTGCAATAGGACATAGGCACTTGCTAGAGAGTGAAAGAGAGAAGGAAAGTGAGAAATCACCCCTCGGGGGAGTGGTGGGAAACACACCACAATGCCTTCTCCTCCGTTCTCCTCTCTGGATTTTGGGCACACACAACACATGCCCAGCATGAGTTTCAAGCTACTGGGTCTGGACTCAAACTGTGGTCAGCCATGTGGGAGTCCACCACATGAACTACCACACCATCTGCTGGCCCCAGTACCGAATCTCCTAGAAGATATCTCCCATAGCTGTGCAAAGATAAATTTAAAGGATACATACAAAAGCAATGCTGTAATAGGAAAGGACTGAAAGCAGAGGTGTCTGTCAAAGGAAACTACAAACGAGTGGACATTCACATAGTGGCTGTCATGGAGGCTGAGGATGCTTCACGTGTGCAACACAGATGGACCATGAGAGTCAAACACAAGTGCGTGGGGCTGGAAGATGGCATGGTAGTTAAGGCGCTGGACTCCCACATGGCTGACTGCAGTTTGAGTCCTGGACCTGGTAGCTTGCTTTCTCACTCTCTCTCTCTCATTCTGTCCCTCTCTGGTCAAATTAAAAATAAATAAATCGGGGCTGGCAGATGGTGTGGTGGTTAACGGTGCTGGACTCCCACATGGCTGACTGCAGTTTGAGTCCTGGACCTGGTAGCTTGCTTTCTCACTTTCCCTCTTTCTCTCTGTCTCTCTCACTCTGTCCCTCTCTGGTCAAATTTAAACACTATTTTTTTTAAAGACTTATTTTATTTAATTTTATTTATTTTAATTTGACCAGAGAGAGAGAGAGACAGAGAGAAAGAGGGAAAGTGAGAAAGCAAGCTACCAGGTCCAGGACTTGAACCGTGGTCAGCCACGTGGGAGTATCCAGCACCTTAACCACCACGCCACCTGCTGGTCCCCAGTTCTCTGGTCAAATTTAAATAAAGAAAAAAGTAAATAAATAAAGTTAAAGAAACACTTCTTTTAAAAAAATAAATAGAATTAAATATTTTTTAAAAAAATAAAACACACAAAAGTGTGTTTATGGCTTGATCCTGTTTTTGTGGGCCACGAGTCACGTGTACATTGGTACACACAGGATGAGGGCAAGGAGGGGCTCCTAGAATGTGTGGTCTGTGGATCTATGCTAAGTGGCAGGGAGACTCATTTCTACTTATGCAGGTGAGAGTCTGGATCCCTCACCATGAGCATGAAGCAAGCTGGCCTCAGACACACACAGACGTGAAAAGACAGTTGCTGTGAATGGCCAAGCCATCTCTTTTTTTTTTTAATAATTACTTTATTAAAATTATTTTTTAAAGAATTTTTATTATTTTAACTTTACTTACTTATTGAAATTTTACCAGAGAGGGACAGAATGAGAGAGAGAGAGTGAGAAAGCAAGCTGCCAGGTCAGGACTCAAAATATGGTCGGTCACATGGGAGTCCAGCGCCCTTAATCACCACACCACCTGCTGGCCCCTATTAAACACCTCCTTTTAAGAGGTGAGCTCCTGAGGGACAGAAGACTGTGCAGTGCACTCTACCAGGGACAGCCTGCTGTCTCTGCAACCCTGGGCTCCTACAGAACATGCCGTGGATTCTGCTGCATAAAAGCTGAGAAGTCAAGAGCAAGCAGTAAGGCTTCCCAACAGAAATGCAGCCAAGGAACCAGCACCTCCTGGAGCCGGCCACAGAGCCGGGGCCCAGGGGGCACCCCCCATTCCAGCAGGCAGGGGTCCAAGACCAGCTGTGGGGCCAGCTGTGCCTGCATACCTGAATGAAGCGCTGCTCCAGCACCTCGTGTTCCCACTGAAGGTCTCTCAGCTCTTTCTCAGTGACTTTCAAACGTGCTTTTGTGCACTGGAGATAAAACAGTGGGAAACAGGGTTTAGGATTCACAGGTGTCCACAGAACTCAGGGTCCTCGGGGACAGCAGGACAAAAGCCGTCACAAGAACTGGAATGGAGACTGGGCAGCTGGCACGCACCTGCACAGGCTGGAGGGAGATGTTGGGATATGAGGGCCACCTCTTCCAGACCACCCACCAAGCTTGCATTCACAGGAGAGCAGCAGCCAAAGAAAGGGGTGTGGCCTCTCATCACACTCTTCCTGCCCTGAGAGGACAGCGCTACTGCCCCTCTGCCCGAGCCCAGGAGAGCAATGCAAGGAGGGAGATGAACTCCGCCAGAGACTCACGACCAGGATCTGCTTGTCCCTCTCGTAGTTCCCAAGCTTCTTGTGCATCTCACTCATCTCGTCCCGAGCCTTCTGGAGAGGGTCTGCCAGACGCTTGTTCTGCGTGGCCACCTCGGCCATCTCCCTCTCCAGGTGCTCCTCCTTCTTGCGCATGTCCTCCATCTGCTCCTGTGGCAGGCAGCACAGACTCAGCAGGTGGACAGACGAGGCTGGTCTGCCCACTTCCCATGTGTGCAGGACCTAGGCCTGCCTTACTGACAAGCAGCCTTTTTAACAAGTTTTAACTTCTGTTCTAAAAATCTCTAGAAATGAAGGTTCCACGCCAAATCAAGACATTATTCTTTGTTCAGGATTGCCCAAGGGCCCCAGGATTGCCCATGTGGAAAACCTTGTCACTGAGAGCATCCGGGTGGCAACACACCTCCGGCTGCAGCTGTGTCACAGCACCTGTGCAGCTCTGCCTGAGCGTCTGCGTGTCAGAACACATCTGGTCATGCCCCCTCCACACTGCAGGTGAGAAGTACCCTGGTTGCTCTCAGTTATAGGCATGGATTCATTACACCATTTTTGCATCTCAGTTATGGATGAACTGGAGAGAGACAGACAGAGACAGTGAGAAGGAAAGTGAGAAGTCACCCTCCAAGAGGGAGGGCCAACCCACAATCCCCTCATCTCCATTCTCCTCTTGGGATTTTGGGCGTGCATGCAATGCATGGGCCCAGTGGATTTTGCAAACCACCGGCTCCAGACTCGAACTGCAAAGTCTAACCCTGACCCAGCGCCTTCATGCCACCTGGCAGCTCTGTTCACTGGTCAATGCCAGTCAGCGTATGTGTTCACCAGATACAGAGAGCGCCCCAGTGAAGCATGGTAAGAGGGCAATCCCGCCTCCTCTACCTCTTCATCTTGTCAGCATTTCGGACACGTAGGCTCAGGCAGCTGGCATGTTTTTCAAGCTGCTGAGTCTGGACTCAAACCATGTGATCAGCCATGTGAGTCTGTACATACACTACAGACTGCACTCACTGCCAGGCGGCTCACTGTCAAGTATTGCTATAAAAAGGGATGTAGTCTGGGCCTTACGATTTCCCATTTTAGGACAGGCCAAGTGTGGCTCCCAAATGCCTCATACATAAAGCACCTTGAGAGAATTGATGAGGGCCAGGTTGTTGAGAGTGATGTCGTTGTAGTAGTTCTTGATGTCAGTGAAGGCCTCCTCGTGGCGCTGCATTAACGTGCTGATCTGGCCATTCTTCCTCTCCTCCACTTCATGGACCTCAGTCTTTCTCCGCAGGTCGAGCTCGTCCCTCAGCATCTTCATCTTCTTATCATACTTGGCTTCAATTTCTGGAAGGCAGCAGCACACACAGCAGCTCAGCAGAGGAAGGACAGGTGCCCGTGGGCTACTGAGATAGATGGAAGCCATCAACAAGGCCCAAGAGCACTCAATGCTCACAGATGAAATATTCAGCACACGTCACTGTCAGCCTTCCTTACCCAGGTGAGGCATTGCTAGTCAATCCCTAAGCTAGGAATCCAAATCAAATCAGCTGATCCCACTGAGCACCAATCCTGGCCTGTGTAGCCATTCGGGCACAGGCTCGAGGGCTTTATCAGCAAACCAGACAGACTTCTGGAACCAGAGCTTTCTGGGGCCAGAAGCCACAGAGAAGACTTTGCAGTGCTGCCCACAGGACTGAATACCACCGGCTATCAGCTTCCAATTTCAGCTCAGAGTGGGGAGGTGTGGCAATCACAGGGCTCCTGAGCTTGAATGGGAATAAGCTGTTCTGGGATGCTGAGTGGGGCCAGCAGCCTTGGAAACTCCTCCTCTCCTCTTTGAATCCCTGGGCAGTTTTAATCTAGTTTATGTGCCCTGGTACAGGTTCTGGAGGTAAATTACTTTCTGGTGGAAGGAAGACTCTGGCACCATCCTACATAATATGAAAGTGAGACACTGACCTCGAACTTGCCTCTCAAAGTCACTGCGCATCTTTGTGATCTCCTCGGTGTGTTTCTGCAGAGGTGAAGTGGGCAGTTACTGGTCAGCCAGACCCAGGAGAAGCCTACTCCCTGAGCTGACCCATTTCTCCATGGCTATGAGAACATTTAGCCTTTGCTCAGATATCACCTTCTCAACAAGGCATTCCCAGAGCCCTTGGGACCAGCAGTTAGCATAATGGCTATGTTGCTGGCCTCCCATGTAGTCGACCGCAGTTCGAGTCCCGGACCTGGTGGCTTAAACTCACATCAGGCGCGTGTGTGTGCGTGCCCAAGATCCCGAGAAGAGAATGGAGGAGAAGGGATTGTGGTGTGGCCATCCCCCCTGGGGGGTGATTTCTCGCTTTCTTTCTCTGGCTTTCTGATGAGCGCTCACGCCCTATAGCAAAAACTTCTCCAAAAAAAAAGGAAAAAAAGAAAAAAGAAAAGTCAACCTCACCCACCGCAAGGCCCACCTCACCCCTTGCCTCCTGGGGCGCTCATCTGTATCAGAGGCACTGTACGCACCAGACACGTTCATCACGTCTTCTACCTCATGTGCATTTTCCTTCCTAGACCCTCGGCCATAAACAAGCAGGCTTTTTTTTTTTTTAAAGAGATTTTTGCTATAGGGAGTATGCACTTGCTAGAGAGATAAAACGCAAGAAATCACCCCTCGCAGGGATAGCCATGTCACAATCCCTCTCCTCCATTCTCCTCTTGGGATTTGGGGCATGCACACACGTGCACCTGGCGTGAATTTTAAGCCACCAGGTCCGGGACTCAAACAGCAGTCAACTACATGAGAGTCCAGCGATGTAACCATTAAGCCACTTGCTGGTCCCCAAGCAGCATTTCTGTCAGAGATCAGATTAGGGATGGGCACCTATCGGGCACTCAGCATATGAATTTCAATCTCCACCAGGAAACCACCAGCCTCCCTCAGAAAGATCAATCCCAGTCTCACAAGCAGACCAGATGCTCACGAGCCCAGCTTGCATGACAGGCCACTGTGGCTATCCAAGGGCTAGCACACTGCGCATGTCCGGTCACTGTATTTTTTTTTTTTTCCTAATAGAGATTTTTGCTATGGGGTGCGTCCCCTCACCAGAAAGACAGAAAGCACAAAATCACCCCCCAGGGGGATAACCACACCACAATCCCTTCTCCTCTATTCTCCTCCTGGGATCTTGAGCACACACACATACCCAGCGTGAGTTTTAAGCCGCAGACCCGAACCACAGTCGACCATGTGGGAATCCAGCAACATGAACCATTATACCACCCGCTGGTCCCCTGGGCACCGCATCTCTAAATGTGCCTGATGCCATTCCTTCGCAGAGTTAGCGTCAGCTGGGTGTCGGATGTCACCTGAGCTAGGCACCCGCCCTGACACCTACCAGCCGCAGGTTCTTCACCACCACCTCACTGGCCAGCTCTTGCTCCTTGAGCTCCACCTTCAGCGCCCGCATGTCCTTGCGCAGCGCGCCCTCCTGTGTGCGGTGCTCCTTCTGCGCCAGCTTCATGACCACAGTGCCCTCCGCCTTCATCTCCGTCAGGTTGTTCTGGTGCTCGTACAGCAGGTGCTTCACCTTCTGCTTGTACACCTGCAGGCAGGGTGGGCCAGAGCTGAGCAGCTGCGCTTGCCTGCACATGGGTGTCTTGGCCACAGGCAACCGAGGCTGAGAGGGGAGAGCTCAGCGGCAGGGCCATCTGGACTCCGTCAGCCTGTCTCCAGGCCTGTGCCTCTCCCAACTCGCAGAGGCTAAATCTCAGACTCCAGAATCACGGAGCCTCCTGGCCACTAGGGAACAAAGTCGCTCCGCTTCATCCTCACGTTCCCGGAACACAGGACACAAACCCAGGGCTGTGATACCCGAAGCAAGGACAGAGGTGTCCCCGACACCACTGGCTCAAGCGCCTCTGCTGTGGTGACTGCAGGGGGCACAGGCCAGTTAGCCCCACGCACCTTAATCTCCACCTGGTGCCTCTCCTCAGCCTCCTCCATCTCCCGGTCTTTGTTCCGCAGCTCGGCCTTCTTCTCCTCCAGCTGCCTCCGTGTGATCTCCCAGAAGGTGTGGATCTTGTCCCGCTCCAGCTGGAAATAGTTGCGCTCCTCCCGCTCACGGTCCAGCTCCTCCCGGATGCGGCCAATGTGCTCCTCCACCTGGCCAGGCACAGCAGGGTAGACTGACGCACCACGCAGGAGCACGTACAGGAAGGAGGGCCAGGGAGAGAGGCAGAGGGGCCACTCTCACCTGAAAACAGTAAGAGCTACAAGTAAAATATGGGCCAGCTGGTAGCATGCTGGCTCAGGTGGCTAGATCCCACATGGTCAACTGCATGGTTCGAGTCTCAGTTGGATCCATAGTTTGAAAACATGAAACATGCTGGGTGTGTGTGTGTGTCACCAAAAGCCCAAAAGGAGGGAGAGATGAAGGAGAAGTATTGAGGAGTGACTGCCCCTATGGGAGTGTCTATTCACTTCCTCTCTCTCCTTCTCCAGTAAGCACACATGTCCTCTGGCAAATTAAGAAAAAGAAAAGAGAAGTTAAAATATGACTCTCAGAAGGCTCCTGAACCACTCAGGTGAGACACATTCAGTTACTGGCAGAATTCCTTTGGATTTGACCAAAAATCATAAAATAATTATTTCCTTTCATCCATTCCTGGGAATCTATGTTAAAGAAGTTTCTTGGGACCAGTAGATGGCATAATGGTTACGTTGCTGGACACCCACATAGTTCAAGTCCCTGACCTGGTGGTTTAAACTCACACTGGGCATATGTGCGTGCCCAAGATCCTGAGAGGAAAATGAAGGAGAAGGGATTGCAGTGGGCTCTACCCCCGGGGGGTGATTTCTTCCTTTCTTTCTGTCTTTCTCTGTGTTTCTGGGGAGCTCACGTGCCCTATAGCAAAAATCTCTACCAAAAAAAAAAAAACATTTCATCAAAGAAACCAAAGGCTTTTTGGCTCAAAGCTATTAGCTACACCATTATTACAACGAGCAAAAAACTGAAAAGAAAATGATCAAAGATCATCTAAACAGAAGTGTTTGAAAACAGAGAGCATAATGGGGACCAGCAGTTGGCATAAAGCTATGTCGCTGGACTCCCACGTAGTCGACCGCAATGGGAGTCCCAAACCCGGTGGCTTAAAACTCACGCCAGGCGCATGTGCTTGCGCACCCAAGATCCCGAGAGGAGAATGGAGGAGAAGGGATTGCGGCGTGGCCATCCCCCCTGGGGGGTGATTTCTCACTTTCTGTCTGTCTCTGTCTTTCTGGCAAGCACACACACCCTGTAGCAAAAAAAAATCTCTCAAAAAAAAAGGAGAGCCTGACGCAGCCTGGCCACGGCAGCCCTACTGCTCTGATCTGCTGCTCTGCAGGCCGAGGTCCACGCGAGCCCAGGTTGGGTCCCTGCACACCCTGAACGGCAGTGTCCGCCCTCTCAACGCACCCACTCGGCGGACACGGTGTCCACACCTCTCACCACTGCTTCTCAGCACTCTGGGGTAAGAGGGCCATAGCCAAACCCTGTCCAAAAAGTCAAGCATGGGGGGCCAGCCACTGGCACAGTGGTTAAGGTGCTGGACTCTGCATCGTCGACCACAGTTCGAGTCCAAGACCTCCCAGCTTAAAATTCATACCATTCACGGAACCAGCAGTTAGCGTAATGGCTATGTCGCTGAACTCCCATGTAGTCGACCACAGTTCGCGTCCAAGACACAGTGGCTTAAACTCATGCCAGGCACATGTGCGCGCGTGCCCAAGATCCCAAGAGGAGAATAGAGGAGAAGGGATTGCGGTGTGGCCATCCCCCCTTGGGGGTGATTTCTCACTTTCTATCTCTCTGTCTTTCTGGCGAGGGCACGTGCCCTATAGCAAAAAAAACTCTCAAAAAAAAAAAAAAAAAATACCATTCACATGTGCGTGCATGCCCAAGATCCCAACAGGAGAATGGAGAAGGGACTGAAGCATGAACATCCTCCCTGGGGCAATTTCTTGTTTTCTATCTCTCTGTCTCTCCAGTAAGCATACACACCCTATAGCCAAAAAACAAAAACAAAAAAACAAACAAAAAAAAAACAAACAGTAACAACAAAGAGCAATGGTGCATACCTATGGCCACAGCACAGTGATACCCTATCTCCAAAAGCTACCTAGTGTATCACCTAGGAAACCACCACGTGACTCCAAACAGGTATAAAACAAGGTTCACAAAATAAGGTTAAATGAAAAAAATCATAGTAACCTATAAAAATATAATGTTAAGCAAAAAATATATAAAGCCCAGCCAGCAGGTGGTATGGTGGTTGAGGCACTTAACTCTCACATGGCCAACTGCAGTTCAAGTCCCAGACCCAGTGGCTTTAAAAACCTACTGGCCAGGGACCAGCAGTTGGCATCATGGCTATGTCACTGGACTCCCATGTAGTCGACTGCGGTTCGAGTCCCGGACCTGGTGGCTTAAACTCATGCCAGGCACGTGTGCATGTGTACCTAAGATCCTGAGAGGAGAATGGAGGAGAAGGGACTGCACCATGGCTATCCCCCCTGGGGGGTGATTTCTCACTTTTTTTCTCTCTGTTTCTTTCTTTCCGGCGAACGCACATGCCCTAGCAAAAACCCCTCCAAAAAAAAAAAAATACTGGCAGGTGGTATGGTGGTTAAGGCACTAGCCTCCCACAAGACCAACAATGGTTCAAGTCCCGGACCTGGCAACTTGACAACTCACACCAGGCATGTGTGCATGTGAGCATGCGTGGCCAAAATCCTGACAGGAGAATGGAGGAGAAGGGATTGAGGCATGGCCAACCCCATGGAGAATGATTTCTTGCTTTCTGTCTCTCTGGTGAGCGCATGTTCTCTATAGCAAAAATCTCTCTAAATAAATAAAGGTTCTTTAATGTGGCTATACTGCAATTTAAAAACTGAGTATTTCATATTAAACTTTTTCATCTAAAGGGAGTTAGGACATGGGAGGAGGCTTATTTGGGTTTGGACAGAATGGGAAGGTACACTCTGAGGGTCATGACAACACCTGGGAGCACAGCCCACCCTGCCCAGGGACTGGGCCTGGCCGGCCACACTCACCTGCTCCTTGCTCATGTCTTCTGGAGCTAGCCCATCAACGATCGGATTGCCCTTGGCTTTGCCTTTCTTCCCTTTCTTTTTGGGCGCCTTTGGTTGAAGAGCATAAGACTGGGTCAGAAAGAGAGCCTTTATGGCTTCCCCTTCTTGACTGGCTGATCTGGTACCAGGGTGTTTAGGAGAGACCCTCCACCCCAGTGGGTCTCATGACCTCCAACAGGAGCACTTACCACTACCTACATACTAACCCCATGGAGAAAGCACAGAGGAGGGAGCTTCCTTTTCAGAAGGGAACACTTTCTCCTTCTAAAAAGGAGATATAACCCATTCCAAACCCAATACTCATTAGGTGTGCTGAGGGGAGCCTGGGGCAGAAGGCATTGTGGTGGTTATACTCCATACCCCGGGGTGGTTTCTCGCTTTCTGTCTCTCTGTATCTCTGTCTCTCCAGCAAGTGCACGTGCCCTATAGCAAAAATCTCTCTGGGACAAAAAACTGTCAATGAGAAAAAGAAAAATCACGCATATTCCACAACCTAGTGACCAGAGTATCCCAGGGCTTTTCTCCCCGTCGGTTTTTGGAGGCCCACCCACTGCGTCCTCACCCTGGAAAGCCCGCGTTCGGCTCCCGCCCTTCCCAGGACGCAGGTCTCGGCCGCGCGGGCTTGGGCGGGTCAGCGCCACCAGGAGGGGGCCCGGCCGGGAGCCCGGCCACGAGCCCGGCCACGAGCCCGGCCACGAGCCCGGCCACAGACCCGCCCCCAGACCCGGTCTCCGCCCCGCCCACAGACCGGCCT